AAGCCCGTGTCCTCCCTGCAGTGAATCTGCAAGTGGCTCCACCTGCATTAAGTCACACCTGCCTGCTGCCAGGTACTGCCATGAGCCCGTGGGTCGGGCTCCAGAGACTTCTTCCTTGACCGCCCTGTTTACCCCACCTGGTCCCCACCCCCACCCGCCCCATTTCCTTCCTCCAGTCTTCCTCTCCCTGACATCTGTAGAGCTGACGTGAACTCTGTCTTCTCCTATGCAGAATTACTAGCTCCCTAAGGGGCAGGGAGCTGTTTCCTTACCTGGAGCATACGTGTCGGACGGTGGCTGGCGGAGGAGACGCTCCGAAAGTGCTTTAGAATTCTGCTAGGTGCCTTCTTTATCCGGGCGATAAAGCTGAGTGTGGGAGACATCCCCGTCCCGTGCTGAGTCGGGGGTGACTGCTTTTAGCACAATAAGCACGGGCCGGGGTGTGGACTGGCCATTGCCCAGGGCTTCCCGAGAGGGTGCTGTGTGATCTCGGAAGGCGAGCATGGCATGGTAAGGGAGGCCTCGGAGTCCTCTGGGTGAGTTGTGCTCTGTTGGGGCGTTTATTCGGTTTTCGTGGGCGGTAGGAGCACCTCCCAGGAGCCCCACCCTCTCAGCAGCACTGAGTGCGCAGCGCCTGCTGACCGGTGTCTGGGCGGAGGCCCCAGGTCCGTTCTGCCGCGCGGCCCCGTCTCGTGTCCCAGAAGGAAAAGTCAGAGAGAAGGATGAGGAGACCCCGGACATTCGCAGAGGACCCACGCGCCTCACGCTGAGGTCTTTGCTCTCCCGGTGAAGGCGACGCTGCAGTCTAGAAGGGTCCCTCGCGTGGTCCGACCCTGAAGAACAGGGTGGACGAACGCGGCGATGCTAAGGACGTCCAGCTGACACAGGAGCCCGCCGGTCTGCCGTGTGGACGAAGGATCCCCGTGTTGTGTTCTGCAGATTCGTGGGGCACAGCGACACTTTCTCCCGCACAGCAGGGAGGCCGCTGTCCCCAGGAGTGGAGAGGCTGCATTTCCCACCTCTCAGTAGAAGGCAGAGGGCCAGGTGCCCGGAAGGAGATGGCAGAGACGGGGCAGGACAGACGCCCAGGGAAGAGAGCAGTGGAAGAGAGGGCGCTGGTGTCAGGATGGAAGCGAAGGGCAGCGGGAATGGCACAAGGCTCCAAGCCGAGGTGGCCCTGCCCGAGGGAGGTCACAGGAAGTCGGTGGCGAGTGGCAGCCTGGCTTGTGTGTTCGGAGTGCTGCTCTTGGGGCTGAGGTGGCCGAGAGCCACGTGGTGAGCAGGAGGCCACCAATGGGGAGGGCACTGTGACTCAGACCAGGAGCCAAGGTCAGAGGGGGCCGAGGTGGGGACACAGCTGGAGGGTGAGGCCAGCAGGATCTTCCAAGTGTTCGTAGTGACCTGGCCGTCCTCAGGGATGAAGAGAACAAAAGGAACCTACAGAAAGAGAAGGAGGTGGTGTGGGGAAGCTCCTGTAATGCCAGCACCCTGGGAGGCTGAGGCAGGAGGATCACGTGCTCAAGACCAGCCTGGGCAACTTAGTGACTTACTGAGACCCTCCTCAAAATTTAAAAAGAAAATTAAAAAGGCTGTGGGATTCAATCGGCAAGTCAAGACAGAGAAAGAGAGAGACAGACAGACAGACAGACAGACACGGACAGAGTGAGAAGTGTTAGAGGGATGGGGAGAAAGACAAGTGGGGAGAGAGTTCAAAGAGGGAGCAGTGAGTGAGGCAGTGCTGCAGGGCTCTGTAAGGGAAGAAGTCGAAAGCAGCTGGGCACGGTGGTGCATCCCGGTAATCTCAGTCAGCTGGGAGGCAGAGGCGGGAGGATCTAATGCCGGAACCCATCCCAGGCAATTTAACAACTTAGTGAGACCGGGTCTCAAAATACAAAATAATACAAGAAGAGAAGACAGAGCAGGGAGGGGAGGGGAGGGGAGGAGAGGATGCAGCTCAGTGCAAAGGCCCTGGGTTCCATCCCCAGCACTGAGCAGAAGGAAGGGGGAGGAGACACGATCTCGTGGTGGTCATGACCAAGGGGTCTGCCCTTCGAGGGACACTGAGGACTGGCGAGACCAAGGCCCCAGGGCAGTGGCCATAGATCCTCCTTCATAGCCGACTGCGGGAGAAAGACCGTGGCTCAGAGGGACGCGGCACAGTGCTGTGGTGAAGCCAGTACGCTGGCCAGGACAGAGTCAGGAGAGGGACCCACTGGAGAGGTCTGGAGGAAGTGGGGGCTCCGCAGCAGAGAGCACAGCCTGACCGTGAGGGCCGGCCATGTCCTTCCTGCCATGCTGTCTGTTGGCGGAGGCTGCCCAGGCCTGCACAGGGGCCGCTTTCTGTGGGGTCCCAGCCCTCAGAGGGCTGGGCACGCCCCAGGCACTGGGAGCCGCCGGACGTAGGGAGAAGCAATGCCCACTCCAGTCACAAAAGCCTGTTTTCCCTTTTTTTTTTCAATGAAGCCCAGAACAGTGTGTTAGACTAGAAATAGATTCCCTGAAGTACATGATGTTTTCCTCTAACTTTTGAAATTGTTTCTCCCTGCTGTTTTAATGCTTGGAGGAGTCAAAAGTCATGAAAAATTAAAGCAGAATTAATATTTTATCAGGAACTTTCATTTCCTTCCGGATGTGCTCTGAAATGTGGTTGTGGCTAATGTCATCCTTTGTGCTCTTATGCGGTGAATTCTGTCAACAGGAGCCACAGTCAGGGCTGAGCTGACCTGAGACGGCTGGCCCGCAACACCCAGGGCCACGCAGATTCCCACACATCTGTCCCGTTGTCCTCAGTATAAGGAGCGCCGAGGGACACTCCCGGCCAGGGCTCCCTCGGGGTGCACTCCTAGGAGGAGCGGCTCCTCCCTCCAGAGCTCAGTCCTGCCTGCACCCAAGTCCTGTATGCACAGGCAGATCAGGAACCACTGACCTCACACTCACTAGTGTGCGACTTCAAGAAAGACCACTTGCTCGTCACTGCATCCACCCGCAGCTGTTGTGCAGCAAATCCACTTTCTGTGTTTTGCTCTGGCACCTGGCTGCTGATGCCCAGCTGTGGTGACTGAAGCTTCGTGAGGCTTGTGGTTGCCCACAGGGAGGAACCTGTCCTCCCTTCTGCTCTGCCAGGCAGGTGTCCCCAAGGAGCAGGGAGCTGTATCTCTGAGCCGCATCTCCGGTCACCAAGACCCTGGTGAGTGGCCCAGATTTCAGCACACGGCAGCCCCCCCCCCGCTTCTCCCTCTTACTGAAGCCACAGAAGTCATGGTGCTCGAGTAACTGGGGAGCACTGGTGACCTGCACAACGTGGCCTGTGAAGCCACTCAGTGGAAACCCTTATCGGGGGAAGCAAAGGAAATGGCTTGGTGAAAACGTCTCTCCAAACGGTGTCATGAGCCTGCTCCTGTGCGCTCTGCACGGTGACCAACGCCTCTACCAGCTTGGAGCCCTTGGTGACATGGTCGGAGGCGTCAGGGTGAATGCTCTGAACCTCCTCGTGAGCGAGAGCGGGCACAAGGCAGGAAGGTGTGCGTGAGCAGCAGGGGTCCCTGGGTCCACCCTGGTCCGACACCGGACACCACGGGATCGGGATGGGGTTGACAGCTTGTGACTGTGGCCCCAAATGATGGTGGCCTCCCCCGGCTGGCCCGGCAGCGGCAGGGACTAAAGCTGAGAGCCTTCCCTGCCGACGTGTCCGGCCTGTTCTTCGGAGATGAATCCACGTGTGCCTTCCTGGGAGCCAGGAGAATTGCCAGCTAGACTGCTCTCCTGGCATCACCTGTCCGTGTCCCCGGGGTCCACGTGACAGCTGCATGGTCAGTTGGAGGGGCAGAGGGCTCTGGGCTCTGGTCACTCAGTGTCAGCATGTGGGCGTGCAGCACTTTAGAACTTTCTTCTAAGCCAGCAGCTTCCTGCCAGGAAGACTGATCTGAGTGGTAGAGTTTTACAGTCCTCAGATCGAGGAAGGAGCTTCTAGGTGGACAGACATTGCCCATCCAAGCAGGTGCACAGGGAGCCTGGCAGTGCAAGTTCCTGTTCCCCAGGACGCCACCAGGCCAGAAGACTTCCTTCCTCCTCATCACTCATGGCTCCAGCCTGCAAGGAAGCTGCTGACCCAGGACAGGACACAGGACACCACAACTTGCCAGGACAGTGAGCTTAAACAGAAAGGCCTCAGGACTGTCTCCAGAGAGCGTCACTCCTGCTGCTCTGTGCAAGGCGAGGGTGGCTGCAGAGATCCTGCAGGACAGGAGAGGTGACTGTCCACCCAGCCACCTGCAGACAACAGAATGCCAGCAGTGGAGCCAGGGAGGTCTTCCGCCCGATTCGATCATTTTTAATTTTAAAACAAAACATTGGCTGTTTTGTGCCCAGGAACCTGATGCTTTGCCGAGGTGGCCTCTGAGGACTTAGCAGGAATCTCCACACTGGGTGGGCTCGCGGCCCCGCGTGGCAGACTGAGTCTGGACGAGTGGGGTCAGCTGCTCTCTGCACTCTGGCGGGAAGCCGAGGCCACCAGCCACTGCTGCCACATGGTTGCACCAAGGGCCCCGCTCCTCTCACCCCAACCCTCTGTCTCTGCCGGTGGGGCGTCCATGGCCAGAGTCTCACCACCTGACATCCACATCACTTTTCTTTGTTCTGTTCTTTATGCAACCGTTGTCACGTTCTTTTTAAACTGCACTAATATATTCGTTAGGTTTTGAGACTAATATTTGTACCGTTAGTCAGAGCAATGTCTTCTCAGAATGAAATGACTGGGACAGATCGGTAACTTCTATTGGTACTGGAGAGATGGTACCAGCTCTTGGGTCAGTTCTGAGAATCTACCAGACCTCAGCACTCCTGCCCCTGCCCCCAGGTCCACTCCAGCCGTCCTCCCCAGGCCCCAGCTGTCCTCACAGGGGCCCATTTGCTCGGTACCACCGGGGTGTGTTGGTCGGGGAGCCCTCCCTGCAGGCTGCGCTTCCCGTCCCTGAACCCTCCTCCTCTCCCTCCCCCTGCAGCTCCTGGACTGCTTCGTGATCCCAGTGGTGATCCTGCTGTCCTGGTTCTTCCTGCTTGTCCGGTACAAGGCCGTGCACTTCCTGGGCATCGTGGTCTGCATCCTGGGCATGGGCTGCATGGTGGGTGCTGACGTGCTGGTGGGCAGACACCAGGGAGCAGGTGAGTCAGGTCGCCGGGCCTCCCAGTGGGTGAGGCCCATTGAGGAGCAATGTCAGGGAGGGTACAGCACAGGCCGGAAGCCATCTCCAGGCTGTGCCTGCCTCACTTGTTCCACACCAGAAATGGTGGCACAAGCGGGCCTGCCATGTGCTCCTCAGGTGAATGGAGGTGCGAGGTCTGGCTCTCCAGCCCTTGCTATGTGACTTCTGAAGGCGCTGGACGCACCTACTCCAGAGAATCCAGACTTGCACCCGGGGGGGGGGGGTATGGGCCTGCAGGTGTTTGACATCCGGAGGCGGGGTCAGGAATGCTCAGTGTCTAGAGAGAGCTAAGCTCAGTTTGTTTGCTGTGGGCCAAGGTTACTGGCTCCACCGTGCAGAGACGCATGGGGAGCGGCACACCTGGCTGGCTGCCGCTCTGTGGTGGGCCTGCGGGGCCCTGGCCGTCAGCTCCCCAGGGCCCTTCTGAAACCACTGCAGTGCTTTAAAAGGGACCCAAATCCTTGTGCTGCAGAAGGACTTTCCAAACAGAATGACCCCTCTGCTAATCCTGGGGTAGAAGAGAAAGTGTTCTCTAGCTCTTGGAACTGCTTTTTCTGCTAGGAAATTAGATAATAAAGAGCCAGAATTGGGTCGTTTCACTTTATGAGACCAGGTTGTATGAAGCCTCTGAGATGAAGTCATTTGTGTTGCATCAAGAACTTTATAGCTGACAGAACCTCAAGTAGCCTCTTTCTAGGTAACACTCAAGAACCCCAAATTCAGCCAGCCAAGCAAGTGCCCAGGGCTGCAGAGCTGAGCAGGCACAGCGTCCCAGCTCTCGAGCTTCTGAGCCCAGGCAGTTGCCCTCTCATCTGCTCGTTGGGAGCAGGAGATACAACGCAGGGCAGCAGACATCCTGGGCCTCCCAGACCCCGCCTCCCCGACAGATGATGGAATTGGGCCTGCAGCGCCTGGATCGCGCTCTTGTCCGTGGGCATGGCTCCGTGTCACGTGAACGGCCGTCATGCTCTGTGCAGGAGCCAGCGGGCTTGGGATAGACAACCTCTTTGGAGCTAATCAGAAGGCGCTCTGGCTGCTGCATGTGGCCAGCTGTTCTAACTCTCAGTTAATTACCCCTCCCAACCCTCTGCCTAAGCAGAAATGTCACCGTTGGAAGAGTTCCACAGGCAGGGAACACAGCTCCCCTGATGGGTCCAAGTGTCTAACTTGATTCACTGGGTTTTAGACCCAGATTCTGAGAGATGTTTTCGAGCTTTCAAATTGAAGTCTTAGGAAAGAAGTGCCCCTGAAGAAAAGGCAGGATGTCCATTAGGGGGCCTCGCCAAAGCAGTCAGACTTTCCTTTTTTTTTTTTTTTTTTTAATATAGATGTGGCCAAAACTCCCTGAAGTGGCATTTTATCTATGCATGCAAACCTGAGTTAGACCCAGCATCTGCAATCTATGACACAGGAGACAGCTGTGCGGGCAGAATCGCCTCCATCCCTGAGGGGCTATTGGAACTACATCTGGCTCCGTGGCCCGAGGTTTTAAGCCCAACTCAGATATGGTGCCCACAGATCATTCTACAAAGTCAGGATTGGGCATAAGTCACCTCTGTGAAAGTACTTAGTTCAGCAGTAATTTAAGCTACTGCATAAAATATTTTTAAAAGAAAAAAGAAAGCGAAGAAATGTGTATAGTCTGCGTGTGAAGTCCAGACAGCATTCTTTCTTTATATCCCTTCGTCTTTATTTTTCAGAGCGGTGGCCCCCGTAAGACATGCACGGTTGTTCTAAGGTAGTAAATTAGGGCGAACAGCTCTCCCAGACTTCCCAGAGTGAAGGGGATCTCCCGCATGTGACCTCTGGGTTAGGAATGGAAGTCCATCATCCTACAGTTGTCACGCAGAAGAGCCTGAGTGAGTGAGCCACTGCGGCCTGGCGTCCCTGGAGGAAGCCCATCCGCTTCGTCCAGGCCAGGCCCCCTCAGCCACAGTTCTTGGCTGGGAACCACGGCATGCCTTCCACAGCCCCTCACCCAGCCCTAACCCTGACACAAACCCTGGGCCCCACTCACTGAGGGTAAGGCCTCTTCCGCTCCCAGGCCTCGCCCACTAGAGCAAGCTCAGCTTTCTGAGGTGGCTGCCACCTCCCTGCAGGCCTTGCCTTGGTCCTTCCAATCATGCCCAGGAATCCACACTGCTCAGGTGCGCTGTGCTCGGCCTGAGCAGCGGCTGGCTCTGCTCCCGGGAGCCAGAGCTGCCCCAGGTTTGCTGGGCTCTTGCTGAGGCCACAGTCTGCCCATCTGCATACGCGGGGCTGCTTCTGCTGGGCCCAGGGCTTCCTCCAGGTCTGGGACCACGAGAGAGGAGCTGCCAGCCACCCAGCGGGCTCCTCTCTCCACTTCCCTGGCTCCCTGGAACAGAGAGCTGGCCTACTTACGGAAAACGCTGGGTAATGCTCACACTTCTTGGAAATGGGACAGGAAGCAAAACCAAAACTGAGTTGAAAACTTTTCTTTTCTTTTTTTTTTTTGAGGAAAGGAAAACAGTGTGATAGAAAAGACAGTGCTGTCATTTTTATGTTTACTTCAGGGGAGAAAGTGTTAACTCACAGATCTTGTCCATCCCATTGTCTCAACCGCACTTGTCCTGCTGGTGGGCAGACCTGACCACCCGGCTGTGCCCTCCTCCTGGAGATCAGGAGGCAGGGATGGCTCTGCCCGGCTCACAGGGTTGACTCAGGTTACAAACAGCCCAAGGGAGCAGTGCCTCGAGTGTCGGCCACCGCCCTCAGCGACACAGGCCCTGCACTCCGGGCTTCGTGGAGAGAATGGCCAGGAAGGAACGCGTGCCCCTCTCAGCAAGGGGGACTTCCGGTGGTGCCAGTCACCTCGCTAGCAGCACACATCCACAGCACAGATGAAAACTACTGCTCTCGGCTGGAAACCATAGGGCTTCTTGCCAAACTAGAATGGGCCGCGGGAGCACAGCCTGCTGGCACCAGGTTCCCTTTAGGAAGGTGCTGATGGGTCCCTGTGTTTCCTTTGCTCCCAGGTGAAAACAAGCTGGTGGGGGACCTGCTGGTGCTGGGGGGAGCCACGCTGTATGGCATCTCTAATGTCTGGGAGGAGTACATCATCCGGACCCTCAGCCGGGTGGAGTTCCTGGGCATGATTGGCCTCTTCGGTGCATTCTTCAGTGGAATTCAGCTGTGAGTAAACCGAGACAGGCAGAGCGCAGGGAGGTGGTTCTACTGTAGGGCGCTGTCCGCGGGGTGAAACTCCAGGCCAGAGGCAGTCACCAGCCTCCCACACAGAGCTCTTACAAAATCTGCAAATTTATTAGTAAATTTCTTTCAAACTAAACAAGGGCATTATAAATTATTATAGAACATTTAATGGGCCTTGAAGATGATTTGTGAGAGCACCTTAGAAGTACATCCACCCTCCCAAACCAGTGAGCGAGTTACTACTTAGAGAAGCAGAAAAATTAAGCATGAATGTCACAATGCAATGCACTTCCAAAAAGAGAAGTCCTGTTTACTAGTGATAACTGCTAGGAAACTCACCATTTACAACTGCCCTGTTAAAAGTCTGCTCTTTCATTGCCCGTGGATGTTCGGGAATGAGCCATATTTCAAATTTCTTTCTTAGAATTTAGGATTTCCATTTTCTCTACAAAGATAAAGCTATAACACAAACATTCACAAGGCTCCAAAAGCAATATTTCTGGAGCACGTAAGTCATCACTTGAAACATCACTTGGTATCTGAACATTTATTGTTCGAATAAGGGTCAAACAAAGTGGACTTTTCTATCAGTAAAGTACATATCTTAGGTTCATGTAGGGGACAAAGAACGAGAGGGCAACCTGCAGCCTAATGTCACTCTCTCCTTTTTTACAAGGCAGTAATTCTTAGTTCACCTTGTTTCTTTCCACTTTGTAATTATGTTGATTCTGTGTCTGAAATTATTTATGGAACATGTTTTGGAATCATCTTAAACATATTTGGCCTTTAGTCTTTTCCAGCAATCCTCTGAATTGTGGTGACCTGAAATACTGGTAAAACAAGAAAAAAAAAAAAAACCCTCTATAGCAAGCCAGGCATCCTGGTGTGCACTGGGGTAATCCTAGCACTCTGGGAGGCTGAGGCAGGAGGATTGAAAGTTCAAACCCAGCCTAGGCAACTCAGTAAATTACCAAGATCCTGTCTCAAAAAATAAAAAGGGATGGAGATGTAGCTCAGCGATTCAATCTTCAGTGCCACAAAGAAAAAGAAAAAAACCCATAGCAAAAAAGACAAGAAATGAAAAGCTTCGGTGGAGGATTTATTGGGGTACGATTTGAAAGTGTGACGGTGTGTTGTGGGAAGAAGAGGCCCTGTGTGGCTCTGTCAGGCAGCCTTTTTAGATGGACAGGCTTTCATGCTTATCATTGCTGAGTCCAGGGTTCCTATCCGGTCGGGGTCCAGCGCTCCTTTGCTTTGGTTAATGGTGCCCATTATCTGGGGCAGAGTCCCAGGACGCTGCTGCTGCCAGGCCGAGGGCTTGGGTGGCAAGTGGGCACCTCAGGACACGGGGATCCATGCTGTATGTTGGGTCGGGGCTGAGCCCACCTGGCCCATGCACTGCACTGCCTCCGTGGGACGGGCACTGCCACCCCGTTCAGCTGCCCTGACAGCTTGGGGGCCGCCAGGTGTGCCCACCTGTGAGCAGCCCTGCTGAGTGAACGTGGCCAGAAGGCGGACCCACTCCCCTGCCCTGCCCCTCGCCAGCCCCCCCGGCAAGGCCTCACAGCACCACGCTGCCTGCGTGTGGCCCAAGGCCATCTGAAATTCCCCCGCCAGCTTTTCCTTGTGTAAATGCGGTAAAGAAAGGGGAGGCGAGCACAGGTGCTTCGCTCATCACGCCCACTGTCTTTGACTCTGCAGAGCCATCATGGAGCACAAGGAGCTGCTGAAGGTGCCCTGGGACTGGCAAATAGGTAAGGGGTCTGCTCGCCTGGGCGCTGTGCTCTTCTGTGACGCGGAGAAGCGAGTGTGCAGAGCACCTCGCGCTGGGAAGGGTGCGGTGCAGGTGCAGAGGAGCAGACGCGAGTCACCCGGGGACCCTGGCCCGGCCTGGGCCTGGGACGTGAACCCCTCAGCTTCCTCGTGAGCGTCTGCCTGGAGCACCGCCTTGGTGCGCCACCAGGGTACAAGGCAGAGGGAATGCCAGACGGCAGTACGTAGGGCGGCAGCGGGCTTCAGCCCCAAACGCAAAACCGAAGTGAGATACGATCCTTAAAAAGCCTCCCTTTAGTAAAGGGGAAAATGGGACTGGACGGAAAAGACGCGAGAGGAAACGATGCAGTCTGGGCCAGGGAGCAGCTGTGAAGGGAGCCGTGGTGCATGGGGGACGGGTAGTTCCTCTCCGAGCGAGCTTGCAAGGCCTCCCCGGCTTGGAGCTGGGCAGCCGTCCCTGGGCATCTCAGACACCCTCTGCTGGGCCTGGGAGACACGAGGAAGCCACCGCACCTTGGGAAGAGCAGCGTCCTCCTGCTGCCCCTCCTTGGTAAGAACAGAACTCAAGATGTTCCCACCTCTCACGTCCTTCCGTCCACAGCCCCCAGCAGCCTCAGACGATCCCTGGCAGCTCCCCTGGTTTCCCTTTCCCAAAGCAGAAGGATGCTTTTCTGCCACGGATAAGTGGAATAATACACATTTTCTGTTTTTCTTGACTTCAAGGCATTTTTTAATAGATTGTTATTTTTCTACAACACTGGTCAGTTGCAAGATACAGAGTGATTAAGAGCAAGAAAATGATAGTTCTTATTGATTGTTTTACTCTACTGAATAAGGACACTGATTGTGTTTAGCTGATCTGTAAACCCAGGTAAAACATGGGAATCAGCACACGGAAGTGTCCTCCCAGGGAGCAGGAATGTTAGCATCACAGCCAGAAATCTGATAAACAACTTTGATGTTCCCTTTATCCCCCTTGCCATATTGTGTTAACAGATGTGTGGACAAATGGAGGCTGATGTAAAAGCCAAATATCGGAGGGGAGAAAATCATGGGGCTCAGCCCACTAGACGCACAGGATGGGTCTTGTGTGGGGCTCTCACTGTCACAGGCCAGAACAAGTTTCTGGGCCTTGCCTGGAAGCTGGGACAGTGAGGGACAGACAGGGAGCACCTAAGCTCAGTAGGGAACAGACCCATCTGTGCCAGCCCTGGGTCGAAGGCCTGTTAAGCAGCTTGATGGCCGCTGGCTTCCTGCGGAGGGACTAATGGCACAGGCTTAGCCACTTACGTGTTCCGAGTCGCCATCTTTTCTCATCAGTGCTTTTAAGATAATATTTGAGAAATCTAGTGTATGCAAAGGAAAGAGAAAGACAAAATATCACGTGGTCCCAAAGGAAGAGATGAGATAAACACATGCAGCAGGCACAGACATAGGCCATTACCCCATTTTAAATAAATCTCAGGTAAAATGAGATGCTCATTAGAATCAAACTGTGTTCTACTCTGATCCTCACCTCTTACAAGAATTAACAGTACGGATTAGCTGTGCGTGCTCAGAACGTGTGGTCAGATGGACCCGAGGGCCAGTGTCTCCACCTGTTTCTCACCCTGACTCCCCACCTGCTCTGCTCAGGCAGAGGACTCCAGCCACGTCCTGCCCACCAGCCCCTGCCCACCAGCTCCTGGCCGGGTTTGGCCAGGAGAGGGAGAGGAGGTTGAGAAAGCCATACCAAGTGTTTCTCCATGTCCAGCTGTGAGGAGTCGGATCTCCAGAAATGACAGAGCCTCCTCCACGCCTCTGCCTGACAGGCACCACCGACACCTGCCCCTGGGTACCTCCCGCACGCGGTGTGGGTCCCCGCCTGCCCGGCCCAGCTCAGGCTCATCACTGGTGGCCCACTTAACTTGCTTCGCCTGTCGCCGCCAAGTGCCTTTACAGTCTGCGCCCCACTGCACTTCCCCTGCTGAGCCTGGGTGAGGTTGTCTCCTGGCTGTCACCTCCGAAGCCAGTCCCTTCCCTGGTCGAGAGGCCGCTGGACGGAACGGGGTGGTAGAGCTTGGTGCCGCAGGTCCGGCACTCGGCGCAGCCTGAGTCTCAGCCACCAGTGTCACCTTCTGTGTCCTCAGTCCCACTCTCCAGTGCAGAAGGACAAGGCTGACAAATTCCATCCTTATGAGAGAGAAAATACTTCAGTAAGAAATGGTAGGACATACAGTCTGTTTGGAATTGTAATCACTGCAGCAGTTACCGGGCTGAAAGGTAACTTGCGTGGTGTGCCTGACCGTGTTGACCCTTGGGAAGCCAAAGGGACAGCAGGCTGAGCACGTTCCACCAGGAGACCCTGAGCCGGCCAGCTGACCGGCAGGAGGGAGGCCTGCTGGGCACCCCCTGCTCTCCTGAGTGGGTGCCTGGAAAGTCCACCCGAGCTCCCTGCTGGACACCCTCACGGAGGGTGTAACCATCTGGAACTTAACAGGTTACAAATGGAGCTTCTTGTCCACCCCGTCCACCCCTACCCTCGAGTTGTCTCCGTCTCAGCGTCTGCCTCACAGCAGAAGCCCTGGCACCCTCAACGCCCTCCGCCCTCGAGCCCCACTTGGCCCCTGTGCGATCCTCACAGTCCGGGCCAGCCCCAGCCCTCCTGAGCACAGCCGAGCTAGCAAAGCCTCTCTTGCCTGGACCAGCAGGCTGTGCTGTCCTTGCTTCCTCCCCCGCCTTCTCCCATCCCTGCCTTCACTGAGGAGCCAGAGTCATCTTTTCAGACTGGACATCAAACTGGCGCAAGATACACAGGCACTGCCTGGTCTGCCTCCCTCCCGGTTTTCCTGCCTCCTTTCCTATTCCGGCCCCTGCAGTCACTGTGGCCTTGGGCAGCTCCTGGAGCCCTCCATGCCCGGCCCTTCTCAGGTCTTCCCAAGTGCAGCTCTCCGGCTGCCGGCTGCCTCCCATCTCCGCCTGGCCCTTCAGCGCTGAAGGTGAGAGCACCTTCTCCAGCAGCGCTGCCTAACTTCTTCCTCAAGCACACTTCGCAGCCGTCAGGAGCCCGCGTCGGGCCCGGGGTGACTCTAAGCTGATTCCCCCGGGTCGCCTGCTCCCGCCTGTGGCAGAGCCCAGGGCAGTGGTGCCAGTGAGGCGTGGGCGAACGAAGGCGCGTCTGTGGGGCAGCAGAGCCCAAAGGCAGACCGGGAGGTGGGGGTAACCGTGGAAGCACATCTCAGGCACTCTCCCATCACGGGGACACGGCAGCCGACACCCACAGTCTAGGCAGGGAGAGGGTTGTTTCGTTCACATTTCACTCCACGGTCAGCCGGCAGCCTGGCAGAGGGCGTGTGGAGGACAGCAGCTCGCATCCTGGTGCCGGGAAGTGGGGAGACGGGAGCTGCGGGGGAGAAGTGGCCCTCCAGCCATGCCCTCCCAACAGCCACCCTCCGCGGCCCCTCAGGCTTTGGGGACATCGAGATACAAACTGAACCGGGAACCTTCCTGCTCAGTCCTGGCACCAAGTCAGGAAAAAGGCCCTGGGATGTCTGCACTGTATTCTGTCCACATTTTATTATTTTTAGTGGATTAATTTATGGATGAATCTTGTTCCTGATGTGTTGGTCACAGATTTCCTTAAGGAATATTACATCAATTTGTATGTCTTGTCGTGTACTAGTCATAGGTTATGGAGTATTTATTGAATTTCTAGTATCTTGGTTAAAAGGAAAGTGGATGATAAGTATCAGGAAAGCTACGGGCAGGGGATGGACTCTTGTGAGGACTTAAAACTTGTGCTGGGGAATCATGCCCCCCCCCCGCCACCCTGAGACGGTCTGGTCTGCGTGGGGTAAGGAGGACCTGGCATCTCCTCCCCACTAGAGGGGGCTGTCGCCCACCTGACGGTCAAAGATATTTTTCATGTGAGTCTGAAATAACTTCTTTCTGTCTGTACTACTTTTGATGCAACTTTTCTTAAACTGAGGATCAGAAAGATACAGAACAAAGGTTTGTGCCCCGATTACTTTTCACAGGGGCAAATCAAGGGGCTGGAGAGCTATTCCCTACTAAACCGCCCCAAATTCACAGAATTCAGAAGAAATTATCTGGCCACCGCTGCTAGCAGGCACCTGTAATCAAGGATTCTTGGAAACATCCACTGAATTTTGCTTATGCTTATTCTGCCCTTTGTTCTTATTTTTCTACATTTGCATTATAGCAACATCTGGGAAAAGATAAAGCAGATTTTAGAATTAGCTGTACACTTCTGCCTGGGTCCTATAAAACTGAGTATCTGTGGTATTTGTATTAACAATGTAAGCCTAAGTGGGTAGGGAGAGACTGACCGTAGGACAGTTTGAGATGAGGCAAGCATGTGAGCACCCAGTACCCTAAGAAGCTGGGAAGGCTGGGCTCCGTGTCCTGGGAGGGGCTGGACAGAGTTTTGAGGCTGGGAGCCGACAGACCTCCTGCGAGAGCCCTGGAGCCAGCACAGCCACAGGCCCGGCCTGCAGGGTCCCACGCCCAGGCGGAGGCAGTCAGCCCTTCACTCTGCTCAACTGTGTCGGTGCTCGTGGTTACGACACACACTACCCTACAAATATAAAACTAAGAGGTCAAAAGGGTTTCATATACGTGGTGGCCAGAGTTAGTGACAGCAAGTGTGACAAGGGATCCCAGTCTGTGCATCGCCACCCTCTCCTTCCCAGAAGGAGCAAAGTGCCAGCCTCGAGGCACGAAGCAGTGAGGCCCTTGTCGGTTTTCTTGCTTGCGCTGGGCATTAGCCAGTGGTAAGCACAGGTTAACAGGTGCGAGGAGGACTCGCGTCCGGGAGCCCCCATGTCCCCGCTCCCCCGTGACACTCTCTTCCCCCCAGGGCTGCTCTACGTGAGCTTCAGCGCCTGCATGTTCGGTCTGTACAGCTTTATGCCTGTCGTCATCAAGAAGACCAGCGCCACCGCCGTCAACCTCTCCCTGCTCACAGCAGACTTGTACAGCCTGTTCTGCGGGCTGTTTCTGTTCCACTACAAGGTACGTGGGGTCTACTCCACTGTCACATGCCATGGGGCTCCTGGGTGCAGGCTGCTGGGGTGCAGGGACTGAGGGTGCAGCTCTGTCCTCGGCCCCGAGACTCTGAGATGGAGGCTGAATCCTGGCCACCAGCCGTCCGCAGCCCCAGACAGCTGGGAACGGGTAAATGATACCCTCGCGGCAGGTGCCGAGGGAAGCCCTCTCCTTTGCCACTCAGCCCAGAAGGTCCTCTTCATCCAATCTGGGGCTGGGAAGATTTGTGTAATTCCTAAAATACAGCCACGAAAGCGGGCTCTGCCGAAGGCCTTGGAAGATGATGTTCTCTTTGGAGAGCACACACCGTTTCTGCGGTTTCTACCCTGCAGATGTTCTTAGAGCAAATCTGAAAGGAGCTGCCTGCTGTAGGGGTGACTTCCTTACTAGAAGATTGGGCTCAAATGAAGCAATGCACGAAATGCCAGGGGGCCTTTGTGGTATGTGGAGGGGCAGAAACCCGTCCTGCTCTGGATGGCCGTCGCCGAGGGTGCTGGACCCCACACACACCTCCTCCTAGCAGGCAGCCAGTCAGGGCTTGGGGGTCGGATGCTGCTCCCCGACTCCACACCCACGGTGGCCACTGCTGGTCAGCACCGGTGTGTGAGAGCTGGCGCTTGCTGGGCCTTCACCAGCCCCGTATGGACAGGGCTTCTAAGGGCACCGGGGACAGGCCCGGGAGGAGGGGGACACTCCAGCACTGCGAGCCAATGGCCTCAGAGGCGACATCCTGGCGCAGGAGGGGGCCAGTTGACTGGGCACTGTGATGGGCAGCGTCCCTGTGACCAGGTGAAGCTGGGCTGCGGGTGCCTGGAGGGGGGTGAGCTGAGACGCCAGGGCACAGGGGTGCAGCAGCCACAGGGAGCAACCAGAGTTATTGACCAGAGAAGCCAGGTCCTGGCCAAGCAGCAGTGAGGCGCACAGCTGGGCTGGTGGGAGCAGAGACCAGTGCCTGTGCTCCCTCGGTGCTGCTGGGATACAGATGACCAGTAAAAGTGTGTGTGTTCAAGGTGTGCAGTATGGTGTTTTGGTGTAGGCTTACATTTCAAATGTTTGCCTCAGTCAAGGTACATTGCCACATCCACTGCCGAGCACAGGTTATTTTATTTTACCTTATTGTCTCCCACCAACCCCGGGTAGTGATAGTATTTAAGTAGATCGTTGCAAATTTCTAGTAAACGTCTTTCTTAACTTTAGACATTGCGTCTCCAGAACACACTCCACTTATAACTGAAACTCCACACCCTTTCTTCCTCCACCGTCTCCATCTCCGTCACGAGTTTCTGTTTTACAAGGAGACTTGTGGCCAGTGCAGTGCAAAGAGGCCGGCTGACGGAAACTGCGAGGCCTGCACTCTGCGTACTGCTGGTGACCTGTTTGTCTGGGGGGCACTTTGCATGTTCCGAGTTCACTCAGGACCTTGAGGGGACGGAAGTGGGGCATGTCCTTCCCAGGCCGCTCCTGTGCATGGTTCTGGGGGACTGGCTTCCCACAAAAGCCCAGCTGCTCTCCAGGCCTGGCCCCTCTCGGCAGGCTGTCGCCCCTGCAGCCCAGCGGCCTGCGCTTTGCTTCTCCACAACCGGGCATCCACCTCCCTCCCTTCCTCAGCATGCATTCAGCTCTTACAGTTTAGCCGCTAAGAGGCTCTCCAAGCTCCTGAACTGGAGTAATCTCTTTAGTCTCCCTGTAGGAAAGACGACTAAAATCCACCGTCCTCACTGAGGACTGGAGTCACTTCGTGGGTGTCCAGACCCAGTCTGCTCTCAGCATCCCCCAGGGCAACGTCCCTAACAGTCTGGCTGCCCCAGAGCCACAGTCAGTACCTGGGGTCGCCTGCTCCTCTGAACAGCTTGCCCTTGGGTCCCCTAGTCCACGAGCCACAGGGCCTTGGGGGTCAGGGGTGTGCCATGTCCCACTCTTCCACTGACTTTGGGGTGGACCAGGCTCCACATTCACGGGAGATCAGGAGCTGTGAAGGCTGACAGCTCAGGGGACAGGAACTCCCGCCGTCCACCTGACTCGCATGTGTATGTCTCCTACTTAGCATGTGTTACTTCGCTGTGGAGAAAACCATGGTGACCCCACCCATCAGAAGGGAAAATCAAATTCTCTGTTCACCAGTTTGGAGGTGTGGTGGGTATTTTTGCTTCTTAAAATAATGTTTTTTATTACACACGTGTATCTCTTCCATTCTGTCGCTGTCCTACTTCCTTGCTAGTTTCTTTGAAACATAGACGTGTTCACTATTGATGATGTCCAGCTCATCTCCTGGGTTATGATTCTGGCAGACGTGGAATTTTCCTGCCACCTCTGGGCCCATCTTCCTGCTCACCTCCTAAGGCTCCTCCTCCTGGGGCTGCAGGAACAGTGGCTTTGCACTGTGGCCTCTAAGGGGACCCTGGAGGTCACAGGCTAAGAAAGGATTCTGTGCAGATGAGGCCCCTGAACTGTAACAAGAGGGATCATGCCTTGAGCTTCAAACGCAGGTGCAGCGCAGCCTCTTGAAGAGGCTTTGACATGGCTCCCACCGGTGGGACAACCACTTGACCTTCTCTGTACTGAGTGGTTCCAGGGCAGCCAGGCCCAGCCCTCGGTTCAGAGCCAGTGAGGCCAGGACCTGAGGAGCAGGCTGTGAGCTTCCTGCTCCGTACAGAGAAGCGGAGTGCTTGGGTGTGGTGCACACGCCTGTGATCTGAGCACTCAGAGGCTGAGGCAGGAGAGCGTTGTGAGCTCCGGGCCAGCCAGGGTAAGTTCATGTCCAGACCCTGTCCCCTGACCCCCGAAACAATTAAAACAAAAAGGTGGAAGAAACATTGCTAATGAGTAGTTATCCAGATCCCAGATGGAACTGGATGTCGTGGGAGGCAGGATTCCACTGGCTGGAGGAAGCAGGACAGGAACAGAGAGACAGAGACTGACGGAGAGAGCCAGGGATGGGACCGGGACCTCAAGAGTTCATCTGGTTTTCCTGATTAGAGTTTATTCCTCACTTCATCACGCGGTCTTTCAGCTCCCTTCCAGTCAGGTTATAAATGTCTGCGTGCTGTGTGGGGTGGGCTCTTTCCTCACAGGTGCTGCTTGGCCAACAGAGCGAGACATCGGAATGAAGTCCCGACCAACTGTTATTGTTGGCTTTTTCTCGCTTTACACCCTTGGAAACAGCCCGTCCCTGCCCTCTGGCCTCCTTCACCACAGCCTCTCTGCCCAGGTACCGGCTGGATGGAAGCCCACATCCAGAGAACAGATCTCCAACTCTGAGTTAGATGATGGGATGGATGGCAGAGAGCTCAAAGGCTCTGGCTCTGTGGCTTGGCGAGGTGGTTATCTATTTCTGTTCTTTATTACCCGATGACGTTACTGAATCCAAAACAGTAAACCTCTAGCAGTCCTCGAGAAAAAAGCACAGGAAAAGAGCCTGACCTTGTTCTAGGGCAGTTCCTGTAGGACCAGCTCGGCAGTTGGAAGTATTCCACATCCTCCTTGCCTCGAACACAGAATTGGATGAGCCGAACCAAAAACAGTGCTAAACATTTCCTTGAAAAGTGGGGGTGAGTGGGTACAGGAGAGACCAGCTCTGTAAAGCAAACTTGGGCCAGATAAAGAGAAAAAGGGTAGAAGTAAAAGAGCATGCCACGTCTGAGAAACCCGGGTGGGCTACCGTGCAAACTCACTCCTGACGGCGCCTCTCCAAGATGGCTGCTCTTTTCGGAGCCATCTCCATCTCCTGGGAGCTGCGAAGAATTCTGCCTGCAGGGTCCTCACACTGCCCTGGGATCCAGCTCACTTCTCCAGCCAGCTTGGCCAGTCCCCCTCCTATAACAGCCTGACCTCAGAGACCCTTGAAGCCAAACTGGGAAGGAGGTGGACTCGGAAGCTTGGCAGGTTGATGGCAACTTGGCCTCCAAGGCCAGAGCTTGACCTGCAGCAAACCCTGCATGCACAACACAGCAGGGCACTTTTGAAGGCACAGGTATTAGTTTCCTATTGCTGATGTCACAAAGCACAGACATCTAGTGACCACAGTCACTGTCTGAAGGCAGACGTCTCCTCAGGCAAGAGCAAGCGTGAGTGCAGTTTTGCGGAGCCTGAAGGTCCAGGGAAGAACTTCCTCCTTCCCTCTGGGCTTCCAAGCCCGCCCGCACCCTGGGGCTCAGGCCCTCCTCTCCCTCAGAGCTGCAGCAGTAGCTTCGCCCTGATCCTCTCACCGTGCTGTGACTGTCCCGGGCCCCAGAGAAGATAATCCAGGAGGATGCGCCCACCTTCTAGTCCTTAGCCCATGGCAACTGCCAGTCCCTTTCGGTTAAGCATTCACATGTTCAGGTATTAAGGTGAGGTCCACCACGCTGCCCACTGCAGGGGAACCCTAGTAATCACTAGGGGCCGCTGACTTCACCCGGCCAGCTGGGACCTGGGGCTGCTGCGCAAAATCGCATGGGGTGGTGGAGGTGCCTCCTTCCCCTGCAGACATGGGCCCTGCTCGTTAGATTTCGGACCCTTCAGGGCCCACCGTGTGAGGGAGGGACTGAGCAGCGTGCCCTTCAGAGTCCACAGAGCGAAGATGTACATTGTTGCTAGGTTTGCTCTCTGCAGCTTTGGAGCAGTTCCTTACTCCTTCCAAACCTCACACTTTGCTTTATGGAGATCTGTAAGGGTTTAACTTCGAGCCTATGTAATGATGGCCCACAGCCATGAATCTCTCCGATCAGTCACAACTCAGTCCACTTTTTGGTGGTTGGTTTTGAGATTTTGTATCTAGACGGAGCTCTTAATAACTCCATGAGTTCTGGCTGGCGTATTCCTCGTTTGAAAGCCCAAACCTGGGGTCTCATGCATTAAAATGTAGAAAATATTGTATCCATCATTTTAAACTGAATTCTTTCATGCCTTCACTTTTTATAGTGGAATTTTTTAGGTGATAACCAGAAAAACAAACTACTGGAGGACTATTTAAAAACAGAGTTTTCTAC